GAAGTTATGGCCGCCTGAAGAGTGGTGAGCCGAGCGCAAAAAGTAGTTTAAGGTCAACGGGCAAAAACTCTCAATGGTTGTTTTTTTTAATAATAATTCACTTTTTCGGAAGATCTCGACGTCACTAGAAATAGGAAGTTTTCTCCTTTTCTGCACTGTTTTTTTTCCTCGGTCCTGAACTGCCGAATTTATGCTCTTCGAAAAGAGTCAAAACTCTCACTAAACTTCATCGTCAAGCGCGTAAATAAGCGTCAAAGGCGGATATTATTGTTGAACTCTTTCGGAAGATTTTGATGCCTCCAGAAGAGAGTTATCCTCTTTTTCTTTTCAGTACTGGTTTTTGTTCCTCCGGTCCTGTACCAGCCAGGTTATGGCGCCGCCGAAAGTTGTCAATCGCCGCGCTCTCTAGAATTTTCATCCTTATTTTTGCGGCGAAAACGCCTCCTTCGTGACCACTGTAGCACCTACCTGCTGGAAGCTCCCGGGTGACGAATGACGTCCTCAGCTTTGCAAAATGTTTTTTTTTCTGATAATCTTCATGGTATAGCGGTGGTATTTTAGGGTCAGATTATGCGCTCCGATGCTATGATGCGACGCAGCTGATAGTCTCAGCCTGGTCTCATTACCGCATTCGAAATTAGGTCGTTTTGAGTAGTTAGGTTTACAGAAGTATTAGGGAGGGGAGGGGGAGGTAGTCGTACGGACTCTTTTTATCGATACCGACGAGACAGTTTCCCTCAACGTAACCCTTGACCCTGTTGCCAACAATTTTCGCTCATTTCTAGCTAACTCTTTTCCAATAAAGTTCGTTGATGACTTTACCCAGCAACTGTCTACCCTTAGTCCCGTAAATAAGTTCGCGCGACGTCGCGCCCACTGCGCCGCGAACACCGGTAACTCATGCACAACAATTACAATAGAAGGTTTTATTGCTAGTTTGATAACATAATGTGATTATGTGGACAATTTCAATTCTCGTTCTCGTACTCTGCTGCTTCTGCGGCCTGAAACAGAGGATTTCAATGAAGAATTGGAGAAATTCTAGATAAAAGGTTTGTATAAATCCGTCACAGAAGTGGAAGGGTGCAGTTCAAGAGATTCACTCCGGGGCAACGAACACCATTTAAATATAATATTTTCTCGCAAATTTCCGCGGCACAGAACATCGGTTCCACGTTGAGTCCGCTAGGTATTGGTGCGATTGCCGCGGGCGTGAGACCTTTTGCAACGCTGCTAGGGACTTGAATCTCTTGAAATACAGCTCCACTGGATCTCTGGGATTACTAACATCTTCCTCTTCCCTTATCTCATAGTCATACTTCTTGAAAATCTTCTCGAAGAGGGCAGGCGGTGGTGGAACGCCGGGGAAGCAGGGGAAGGCGTTTTTCTGAAAACGTTGCATTCAGATTTGATAGTTTTTGTTCTATTATGCCAAAAGGTATGGCCCAATGAAGCGTGTCAGGGGTGAGAAGCCTATTTTCCGCCAATTTTTGTCGCTTGCTCGCTTCAGCGACTGGTGGAGAACGGATTGGCAACGCGAGATCTCAGCCTCCTGACACGCCCATGCGTCTGCAGTGACATTCAGTATAGCATTTATAGGTACTGTCAAGGATGTTGATAGAAGTACCGTAACTTACGTTCTCATAGACCGACCGTCTCTCTTTGAAATTTCGCCGGTCAATTTGTCGGTCGTACTTCGATACCACTTGTACCTTTGGCTGAATCAGAGTTATCGAATTAGTGTACTACATTTACAAACGTGAAATCAAAAGAATAACCATTTCTATAATAGACGTACCGGGAAGCGTCCATCACCGTCCAATTCGCCCTTCTTGCCATCTCTGGCGTTTCTCGCCACCTGTCGAGATCGCTCATTCAGTTCTTTCAGCTGAAAAAATTGCTTGACTGATTAGCCCGAAACAGGTAAAGTAGGTAGAGCGGCCGTCTTGTTGATAGATGAAACTCTTTTGGATTTGACAAGAGCTGTTACTTTGGAAAAATAGGCTGCTGAAAGCCAAATGGACATCATGGTAGATACGGGAGCCGTCTATAAGAGGCAAGGCTAGAAGTTAGGTCCTGGAGCGGCTCCCATCCATGCGAACCAAGGCCTCCTCCTGTCCTCTTTTGGACTTGACAAGAGCTGTTGCTCTGGAAAAGTAGGCTGCTAAAAGCCAAATGGACATCATGGTATATACGGGGATAGAAACAGCCGTGGACGCCCAACTAATTCTGTCGCTTGCCACGCTACGTTGATCCCTTCGTTCAACCCAATGGACAGGCCGGCGACTGCCGATGTACGCCTGAAACGTACACCCCCACTTCCTTTAGATTCACCTTGTTGGCCTGCCTCACGATCATCACTTTGTGGCTTCGGGAAGGACGCGGGATGGGAGAGGAGTGTCTTTCGAGACGCTGCTGACGCCGCTCCAGACGTCGGCGTGGTGAATGTGAGCGAGGCCGATTGCCTATCTACCTAGTTTGAGGTAACCGAAGAATGTACCCGATTCCCAACTGAGACCGTTCAGGGTCTCCACAGCACAATCTCTTCCGACTCCATGCCTTTATACCCGCTGCCCAAGACACCACCCCTTTAGGGGCCTGTAAGGAACGACCTTCGCTTGTCATTCTCATCTTTCGCCTTTCCTCAGAAAACGGCCTGCCCCGCCCTGCCCGGCCCGCCGGCTGCGGCCTGTCTTGATTATGGCCCACTTAGATACTGCTTGAAACTCTGTTTTACCACAACAACTCTTACCATAATTTGGATTATATAGGGTCCTGCCCCACTCACGCAGGTCCAAATGCGACCGCCGCTCCTATACAACTCTGTTGTGAGGGGTTCCCAAGCATTGTCTCGCCCTGGATCAACAGCGCATATGGTTAGAGGCAATAGCCGCTGCGCAACTGTGTTCGGCCCAAAAGACTCACATCATACTCCTGTCGCTCATGACGTTTCTCCAAGTCGTATTTGTCCGTTTCAAGTTTGCAGATTCTTTGATGGAGTTCCTTGATTTTTGCTTTCAGATCGGCAGCTGAAATTGCGGACGCTTCCGGAATGGCGTTGCGAATTCCGATCATGAACACCTGAATGGAACAGAGTTATGGAATGAGTGAGTGTTGAAAAACCCTACTTGATCTTTCCCCCGTTTTAAATGAGTTCTATGTGATCCTCTGCGTGAGGACATGCCTTTGAAGCAACACACTTGAGTTTATGATAGGCCGTATATCGGCGGGCAAACTGCTGGTTTGTGTAGCTCTTAGGGGTACACTTGCGGCGGACACTGGGAATGCCCCTTTCAACCCTGCCCCTCGGCGAGATTTCGACAGGATTTCTAACTTTATCCGTCAAGCCGTTTATGAAAAATCATTAAAGCGATCATGATAACGCCCAGTTTACACTGAACAAAAAATTCGGAATAAAACTCCTAAGGCAACGCGTTCGACTTCGCGACGCACGCGCTTCGGTCGCACATTCCGATCGCGATCGATTCAGTCGCCGAGGGATGCGCACTTGATCAGCCGATCGAACGCACGACCGGAGATGCTGCCGTCGGGAAGTTCTCGAAAGGGTGCCCCCTAAAGACGCTTCGGTTACTACTTGTATGAAGGATTGAATCTTATTGCAGCTCTTCATCTTGCCTCCGTGACAGCTTACCCAGAATTCCAGCTGTGGTTACGCCGAACACCGTTGGTCAAAATCTAATAAAGAAAAGCCGCTCGGGTCAGGAGGATCGCTGCAGCGACACATATGGACTAGTTAACGCGGCCTGCTGCAGCGTTTCCATGTTGAATCAATCAGTTCAGCGTGGGATTGCCACGCAATGCCGCGCCGCCGCTAAGAGGATCTCCCGACCGATACCACGTTAGGGACTGTTAGAATAAGGCTGCGTTCATACTTCGCGACAGCAGTGGCGATTGCGGCGACCGCAGCGATCGTAGGCGATCGCCGATGCTGTCGCGAAGTATGAACGCTGTCAAAGGAATTGACAGGTATGGCGGTAACAGTAGCTTATCGGCACACTGCCGGCGATTAAAGATAACCTCATGAGCAAATCGGTGGCATTTCGATCCTCCCAGGGACGACATACCTTCTTAGCCTCCTCCTGCTGCTCTTTGGTCATACCCATCTCCTGTTTTGCTTGCACAATATTACCGAACTTGTCGTTCTTCTCGGTCTTGGTGGGTATGGTGAAATTTCTGGAACGAAAATTGATTATCATATCGATAGGTACCCCACAAAAAATTTGATCAACCGCACCTTCCACCTACTCCTCCCGCGAAACTGGCACCGCTCATTTGTTGACGCTTACTCTTTTCTTCTTCTTTCTTTCTCTTCTCCTCCTCTAGTCGGGCACGACGTGCTTCCTGAGGAGAGAAAAGGTCTCAAAGATGTTTTCAGCAGAGTTAATTCTAAGGTTCTGGTAGGTGGGAGAGAGCAAACTCACCTCTTCTTCCTTTCGTCGTTCGTCTTCCTTGCGCTTTTTCTCAGCCTGTTCCAATTCTTCCTGCTCACGTTCTAGTCGTCTACGCTCCTGTTTCTCTTTTAGTTTTTTCAGCTCCTCTTCTTCAGCTTCTCGTTCCTTCTTTCTTCTTTCTTCATAGCTCTCCAGCTTTGCCTTCTCCTCATCCTCGTGACGTTTCTTGGCAGCCTAAAGGATCAAAGGTTTTCAAACAATCTGTCCTTCTCTTGGTACGTCTTATTAGTTCTACAGTTGAAACTGGAGGGCGACGGGCAAGAGAATCGTAACTTGCCGCTCCGCCGCGCACGAAGATGGGTGCGGCGTTTCCTTAACTCGTGTTAACCTGTCGACTGGAGCACCGGACTTCATGTAGACCTCGTCATCGTAGAGTTCATGACTATTTTCACTGAATTGCCTGTTGTCGCCATCTACTACCTGGAACCATCGTCATTTGCGGGCGCGACGTCGCATGCGACGCCCAGCGCGGTGAATTACGATTCTCTTGTCACATACCCTAATCTGGAAAGCGAAACGGACACTAGTCCATTGCAGTGCGCATTTCGTGAACTTCTGTGAAAATATGGAATGCTAAGAGGTCTCTAATTCACATTTTTGAGAGCTGCACCTGTTCGCTGCAGATGCAGGGGCGTGTCAGGGGCCTAGACTTGACGCAGCGCCTGCCCGTTTTCACCCAATTGTTGCCTACAACTGTAGGCAAACATGGCAATGGCCATCGCCAAAAACTGAGCTATCGACACGCCCAGCCATTCACAGCTGAAAAACATACTATTTAAAAAAAAACGAAATGGCTGGCTAATAGAATTTGGTAGCAATCCACCAGTAGTTCGCATGAACTTTACGGAATGCCCAGATTTTTGGCGAGAGTTTACAAGATTGCCTACCTTCCCCTCCTCTTACACTTTCAAATATTACTCAGATTCACCCTCTTGAATAAAACAAAACAACTCACCAACATAGCTTTTTCGGCTTCGGTAAGACCTTCCTCATCTTGAGCGTTATCATCAACGTGGCGACTGCAAAAAAAACAACTTTAGGCCTTTTTTCCACCAATGAAGGTTTCTGAGATCGTCACTTTCTGCCTTCTTTACACTGGCTGCTTTCCAATGACTAGTTTTCAGTAACCACGCTGGGAAGTCTGGTGGCTGAGGACCCACTTCACACTAGTTGGTCCACACTGTGATTTCTCCTATACCAGTTGTGAGTTTCATCGTTAAGTGGTTCATATATAGTTTACTGGCAAGAGTGTTACCCAAACAATCCGCGGCTATGGGCAAACGCTGAGCGCTCGCCTGTATTTGAACGTCCAAGCCCTCGAATACATGTTACAGAGCCTGAACCTTTCATGCACAAGATACTATGCTATTTTACTCCACCCAAGCAGTTTTTTTTGTTCTTAGGCTCAGTAATTATTGTATAAGCAGGAAGTCGAGACTACATATTACGCAGTTCCATTGAGTCATTGCAGGGGAATTTGAAACGCCGCCATTTTTCATCGCGGATTTTGAATGTGAAACTATCCCGGAAAGATTGCTTGCTTACATATTTGTTGTACTTATTATGTTTTATTAAGTAATTGCTGCCTAAGGCAGGTGTCAGCTCCGAAAGTTATCACAAGAATGCTGAATTAGTAACAAAAGTAAGAATCCACGTGGAACTCGAGCCCAACCTCAGGCTTCCGGGCGAGTGCGCTACCCTTTACGCCACCAGGTCCACCTTTTACCCTCTCAGCTTGATGGCTTTTATGTACGAACCAGGTCATCTTGTTGCTTACGGTTCATAGCTATTCTATTCAGGAGCTATTCTCTCTTGCGGCCACTGAATTCATCGAGCTATCGGCGTTTATCACTGTC